AGATCTCAGGATACTTGGTAATGTTCTATACCTTGTTCTTTTTGCTCCTACTTTATATTGATCCTTTCATATAAAAGTACATAAAAATTTAAAACCAGATTTTTAATCTGCTAAATTAAATCATTGTTTAGAAAACGGGAGGAAAGAAGTATGTGTATAAAGGGCCTTTTGTCTTGGACGTAGTTGTTCAGGTGTGTTCCACAAACATCTTTCCTTCTCTATATTTGGTAGGAGCATGATATAATTTTGTTACAAAGCAGTGTCTTGATTTTGATAAAAATCCATACCCAAACTAAGATTTTCTTAACATTTGTCAGATTTTATTTTTTCCTTATTGAGAACATATTCTACTTCGGGTCAATGCTTTAGTGCTATTTGATCCTTATATTACTGTAGTATTCAAATGACACATTTGCCTCAAAAGCAATTTTTTAAAATACTGCTTTTAATTGACACATAATAACTGTCACAACGTGACATAGGATGGGGTACAATGTGATATTTTGATACGTGTATACAATGTACAATGATCAAATCAGAGTAATTAGCGTGTCCATCACATCAAATGTTTATCATTTCTTTATATTGGGAACATTCGGAATCCTCTCTTCTACCTATTTGAAAATATACAATAAATTATTGTTTATTATAGTCACCCTACAGTGCTACAGAGCACTAGAACTTGTTCCTCTTATAAAGCTCTAATTTTGTATCCCTTTATAAACCTCTCCCCATCCCTCTCTTCCCCCCACCCTTCCCATCCCATAATAATGACTATTTTACTCTCCACTTCTGTGAGATGAACTTTTTTAGTTTCCACATATGAGTAAGAACATGTGGTATTTGTCTTTCTGTGCCTGGCTTATTTCCTTTAACATAGTGTTTTTTGTAGGCTCACCCATATTGCTGCAAATGACAGAATTTCATTCTTTTTTATGGCTGAATAATATATACACCACATTTTATTTATCCATTTATCCGTTGACGTACACTCAGGTTGATTCCATATCTTGGCTATTATGAATAGTGCTGCAGTAAACATGGAAGTGCAGACATATCTTCAACATACTGATTTCCTTTTATTTGAATGTATACCCAGTAGTGGAGTTGCTGGATCACATGGTAGTTTTCTATATTTAGTTTGTTGAGGAACCTCTATACCGTTATCTATAATGACTGTACATTCCCATCAGCAGTGTATAAGGGTTCTCCTTCCTCTGCATCCTCACCAGCATTTGTTTTTTGATAATAGCCATTCTCATTGGAGTGAGATGAAATCTCATTGTGGTTTTGATTTGTATTTCCCTAATGATTAGTGATATTCAGCATTTCTTTATATATCTGTTTGGCACTTGTATATTCTCTTTTGAGAAATGTCCATTCAGATCATTTGCCCATTTTAAAATCAGATTATATTTGTTTTTTTCTCCTGAGTTGTTTGAGTTTCTTATAGATTCTGGATACTAGTCCCTCATCAGATGAATAGTTTGGACATATTAATATTTTCTCCCATCTGCAGGCAGTCTCTTCACTTTGTTGATTGTTTCCTTACTATACAGAAGCTTTTTAGTTTGATATACTGATTTTGGCCAGGCGTGGTGGCTCATACCTATAATCCCAGCACTTTGGGAGGCTGAGGTGGGGGATCGCTTGAGACCAGTCTGGGCAACATAGTGAGGCCCTGTCTCTACAGAAAATAAAAAAAAAATTAGCTGGGCATGGTGGTGTGCACCTGTATTCCCAACTATGCGGGAGGCTGAGGCAGAAGGATTGCTTGAACCCAGGAGTTTGAGTTTGCAGTGAGCTGTGATTGCACCACTGTACTCTAACCTGGGTGACAGAGTGAGACTCTGTCTCTAAAAAAGAAAAAAATAAAAGAAAAAAAGGAAAGAAATAGTACTGATTTTTGTTTGTGTAGTTGCATTTGTATCTTGCAACTGAATTTATTATCAGTTATAAGAGTTTTTTAGTGATGTTTTTAGGTTTTTTTGTATAGAAAATCATATCATCTGCAAATAGGGACAGTATGCCTTTCTCCTTTCCAATTTGGATACCTTTATTTTTTTTTCTTGCCTAATTACTATGGCTAGGACTTCCAGTACTGTGTTGAGTAAAAGTGGTAAAAGTGGCATCCTGTTTTGTTCCAGTTCTTAGAGCAAAAGCTTCCATATTTCTGCCATTCAGTATGATGTTAGCTGTAGGTTTGTCATATATGACTTTTATTTCTTGAGGTATGTTCCTCCTATGCCTAATTTTTGAGAGTTTTTATCATGAAGGGAGTTGAATTTTACTGAATGCTTCTATGTTTATTGAGATCATCATGTGGTTTTTGTCTTATCATTTCATTGGTATGATGTATCACGTTTATTGATTTGCGTGTATAGAACCATCCTTGCATCCCTGTAATAAATTGTACTTGATCATAGTATGTAATTTTTTTTTTTTAGAAACAGTGTCTTGCTCTGTTGCCTGGGCTAGAGTACAAGTGGTGTCATCATAGCTCACCGCAACCTCAAATTCCTGGGCTCAAATGATCCTTCTGCCTCAGCTTCTAGAGCAGCTGAGACTCAGACATGCACCACTATGCCTGGCTAATTTTTAAATTTTTGTTTTTGTAGAAATGGGGTCTTGCTATGTTGCCCAGGTTGCTCTCAACTCCTGGCCTCAAGCAATCCTCCTGCCTCATCCTGTGTCATATGAGTTTGGTTCTATTTGTTACTTTGTCTGTTGGAAGTGTATTATTTTTCTTGCCTTTTTGCATGCCTCATAATTTTTCTTTTTGTTTTAAATTGGACATCTAGTTTAGGGCATTAGAGACTGAGGTAGATTTTTGTGTGTGTGTTTGGAAATGGAAACCCATTTCCTTCTGTTGGGCATTTATTGTTGGAGTTTGAGTAAATCTAGTCAGGAGCTGGGCTCCAGGTGAGGTTTGTTGTCTCTGTGCTTATTCTCAGCGTACCACAGGCTTCAAATTCCTTTAGGGATACCTGCGTGTAGCATGGGGACAGGGTTGCCACAGACTTTTTCCCAATTCCCTCACAGATAAAGGCTTTTTTTCCATAAATGATATAGGAGAGTAGCTTCCAAGTGACATTTCTTGTCCCTTTCCCAGGCCTGCACCAGGAGGCAGTCCTCTTTCTCTGGCCTTGCCAGTGCGAGAGGGAACATTTTGCCCTCCTTACCAATACGGAGTATTGTGAAGCTTTTAAATCCTTTCCTATCTGATAAATGAACATGTTATTTTGTTATTGTGAGTTGTTAATTTTGAACAAGTTAATGTATTTTATAACACTAGAAATATTTTTATTGAATGTTAAACTCTAACCAAGGTGACAGATCTCATCACTATTATTTAATATTTTTGTGGATGTCCTGGCCAATGTAAGGAGACATGAAATAAAAATGTAATAAAAATATTGTAAAGGGGGAACTATATCATAATATGTGACTACATACCTAGGAAATCTAAGAAAAATAACTGGAAAAGTCTTACAGTTTATAAGAGAATTTAGGAAAGTGACTGGACACAGGGTAATGACAGAGAAATACAGTTTCTTTAACTGATAATACCCAGATAAAATGAATAGTGGGAAATATTCGTTCATAATAAGGAAATAAAAACATGTAAGATCAAAAATAATCTAAGAGGGCTCTGTGATTCTCCAGGATAATGGATAATGTAGAATGCAGCTCTTAGAAGTTTTGCACCCCTTTGTTTTGTGTAGCATCATTTAGAACAAACCTTGGGAAATGTTGGAATAAGACACACAGAGTCACCTTAAGGAGATCCAGTGACTGGTCAACCTCCAAGATTTGACTGAAGAGATACGTGGTATTAATAACATAACAAAAGAATGATGCCTCATTACGAATGGAACTCAAACAACCACAAAAATTTATAAAAAAGGAGAATTACAGCACTAACCATCATCATTTGTCTAAGCGTACTGATTTAGGACTTGAGTGCAAAAAGCATATGGCTTGGGCTATCGCTGCAGTTTTCTCCTGCTAAACAGAGTGGAAGAAAATGTCCACGCTCATGATCTCATTGAAAGTTGATCTCTCCCTGCTTTTGTTCCATAAGGATATAGGAGAGAAGGTTCCAGGAAGAGTTTCTTGCTTTTTCTCAGGGCTGCATCAACAAGTGCTCTCAGTGTCATTTACAAACCTAATTGTTCCAGCTTTTCTCACTCACTTTATGAAATATTGACAGAGTTGGTAATAACTTGATGGCGACATGTTGCCTTGTTTGTGTATGTACGTAGTTAACATGATTAAAAGCAAGAAAGAGTGTTTTGTCAATTTGTAACTGGAGTTGACTCAATTAGGACCAGGGGTTTGGGCAGAGATGTTGAGTGACTTCTCTTACTCTATTCACTCCTCTCTGCTGGGTGTCATGACTTAAAACAAGTTGGAAAATACTGCTATAAACAGTTGAGCTCTTAGGAGGAAACCAATCCTGATTTTGTGATTTCATGGACTACTTCATAGCAGATGACTAGCCAAGATCTCATTACAAGGAGTCCTTCACAACAGTGGTCCCCAGCCTTTTTGGCACCAGGAACCGGTTTCATGGAAGACAATTTTTCCATGGACTGGGGGTGGGGATGGGGGAATGGCTTAGGATGATTCAAGTGCATTGCATTTATTACATTTGCAGCCATTCCTCAGCGCTAGCATCACTGCCTCAGCTCTACCTCAGATCATCAGGCATTAGATTCTCATAACCTAGGCCCCTCGCGTGCTCAGTTTACAGTACGGTTCACACTTCTATGAGAATAATGCTGCCACTAATGTGACATGAGTCCAGAGCTCAGACGGTGATGCGAGTGATGGGGAGTGGCTGTAAATACAGATGAAGCTTTGCTTGCTCACCTGCTGCTCACTTCTGCTGTGCAGCCCAGTTCCTAATAGGCCACTATTAGTTCTAATAGACAGGTACCAGTCCTTGGCCCAGGGGCTGGGGACTGCAGTTTTAGAGCTTTGCATCTTGTTCCTAGGCACCACACCAATCCGGTGGGCACTGAATGGCGATGGAAGATGGACCAACCTGAGATGATCTTAAAGGAAGCCATTGAAAACCATCAGAACATGATTAAGCAGTTTAAAGGTATTTATCTTCCCTCTACAAAGGAATGTGATTACCTATTAATAGCCTGAATCAAATTGGCAGAGGAATTGCTTCTTTGGTAGGATTTTGTCCCCACTGGCAAATTTTCCTATAAGGAAGTGAAAACTTTGTAGAAATATTGTATCTATTTTGGCATTTTTAGCTTGTATATTCCATGTGATGGAAGAATTAAAAATTTAATCCAAAGCGTAGCAACTTACAATGTGGTGCACTTGTTCTGTAAGTTTTGCCTAGGAATGTATCGTCATCCTTTTTAAAAACCTTTGCTATTGTCCTGTCTTGGTGAGCTTAAGCAGCCTTATGCATGGATTGGAAATTTTAGGTCATTGAAAAATTCTTAAATAATGTCAGTTAGTGTTGGGAAAGCAGTTTTGGATGAATGCCCTATAAAAAAGGAGGAATGATATTAATAAAAATTTCTTCCTCATGATCCATAGTGATGTAGTAAAAATTCTGCCACTCAGTTTCTAGAATTCCCTGATTCAATTCTGTCTCATACTTAAAAACACTTGACTTTACTGGAGATCACTGGTTCTCAAACCAGTGAGATCACGTACCAGAATCATCTGGAGTGCTTGTTAAAACACAGATTGTGGGTCTCCTTTGATTGATTCATTCAGCCTGAGGTGGAGCCTAAGAATGTGTATTTCTGACAGGTTCTGGGTGTTGTTGAATGGAGGACCACACTTTGAGAACCATTACTATAGATAGATATAGTGGACTTATAAAGCAATGGCTTCGAAAGCAACTGCTGTAGCCAATGAATTGAAATTTGTTAGGTTCCGTGTTAACTTTGTAAGCTCCTGTGTCCACCTACCACTGGTGACTCCTTCTCTCCTGTAGTCTCCTTTAGCTTCACATGCAACAATAAAAAAAATTCCAACCAAGGCTGTTTTGATATGGGCACTCTGTGATGTTAATAACATATACAAGAATCTTTATAAACCCGAGTAATTAGCATTCTGAAAGTCAGGTGATTCTTTTATGGAATGAAATTTGTTCTGTTCAGATCACTCATTCTTAAGATTATAGTACTTCTTATTACTGTTCTTATTTCTTATGAGAAATGGAGAAAAGTAATGTAAATAATGGTCCAAAATCAATAGTAATATACAAAAGACAATTAGTCAATAATTATATTTTTATTTTATTCTTCATGAGTTTTCTAGGGAAAGTTGACCTGTACGTAATTTTTCACCTTGATTTTTAGTGTCAAGCACTTTTTTGGGCTTTGGGAGAACAAATTACTATCTCTTATTTGGATAAAGCAATGTCTCTTAGCAGTCTTTTGGAAAATTAAATGAAACTATTGGTAAATAACTAGTAAGCCTCTCATCTGGAATTTTTTTTTTTTTTTGAAGCACACTTCTGGTTTTTTAATAACATTTGCTTGTGATGACCTTCTGTGCTCTGGAACTTCTGTTTTACATGAAATTGGAGCCCAAACCTACAAGCCTTGCGATTACCATCCAATGCTCTTCATGGCGCCCCCTTGCACTGTGGCCCTCTCTGCCTTCCTCTGCATCTTTACGTCCACAGTTGGTTTCAGAAGCTCTGACGTCAATGCACAGAAGTTCAAATCGATAGCCCGGTTCCTTCTTTCAGTCTTTGTCTTTCCTCAGGTTGCTACCGGTTGCCAGAAAGGACTGGGTCTGGAATATCTCACAGGTAGCCTTCTTTTTAGAGAAGTCGATTATTTCTTTATCCAAAATTCTTCTCTTCTCTTCAGGCTTCATTCTCTCTTCTTGGTGAACTCTCTTCAGGTGCTCAAATTTGGCCTGCAGCTCTTTCAGCTTCTTTCAATATAGCTTCTTTCTCCTTTACTCGCTGCACAGACATCTGCTTCATTTCTTCTTCCTTCCTCTGACGTTCACCATGGAATTCATGTCTTTTGGCTTCGTAGGTCTCTTGAAGACTGACAGGTTTGTTCTCTGGGCCCACATCTGAGAAGCCCATTTCCTCCGACTTGCAACGTCTGTAGAGCTTGTAGTGCCGAGTGTGGGTCTGCTTGCGCAGGTCTTCCATGTTTTTGCAAATGAGCATCTCCCGCAGTTTTACGAAGTCACAGTGGTTTTCATTTTCCACTTGTACAACACCCCAAGGGTCCTGGTGAGCTTTGACCATTTTATTTCTGATTTTCACCTCATCCATACTTCCTACAACAGCAAATGACAATTGTCCATTCATTGCAGCATTGATCCTAGCAACAGTGTCATCGTCTGTTGGGAACTGGTATATCTGGACGCCATTGCTGACCAATTCACTCATGAGCTTGATCTTAAACTTCTGTAATTCAGTTTTAGAAATTGTATCTGCTTTGGCAATCACTGGTATAATGTTCATCTTGCTGTCAAGGTTCTTCATGGTTAGGAGATCAAGTGTCTTCAGAGAGTGGCCTGTGGGTGATAGGAAGTAGAGGCACACATGGATGCGAGAGTCGTGGTAGTTGAAGAGAGACTGCTTAATCTTCATTTCTTCTTGGAGATAGGCCTCAAACTGGGCATCTATGTAGTCAGCTATGGGTTGGTAGCTCTCTTCTTTATTTGGTCACCAAATTCCACCGTATTCACAATGGTCAATTTCAATCAAACGTTACTTTCTTGGAGTTTGTATGTCTGAGCTTTAAGTTTCACAGGTGGGCAAAAATGTGAAGATTCTTGGTCTTCAAAATTAGTATTAAATAACGTGTCAGTCAGTGTTGATTTTCCAATTCCAGTCTCCCCCACGCAGAGAATATTAAAACAGAAACCTTGCTGAATGGATCTGTTGACCAGCTGATCAGGCAAACTCTCAAAGCCAACATGGCTAGACATAGTCAAGGAACAAATATTTTTGCCTTTTTTCTGTTCATCATCAGACACTTGTGAGGATGTACAAGTTGTTTTCATTCCCAGGTGAGGCAGCTGCTGCGCCACCTCGGAGGAAGCCATGGTCACCGGCAGGAAGGCAGCGGAGCTGCCCGCATCTGGAATTTGACTAGCTTTTCTTAGACTCACTGTTGGTTTGGTTAATATTATTGATTGTTGATCTTCATAGAAGCTATATATCTTTTTAATAAATTTCCAGGCAAATTCTTCTTTTTTTTTGGATAGTGTATTAGGGCTTTCTAGAAAAACAACTGATTGTGTGTGTGTGTGTATATGTCTTTATGTTTGGAGAGCAAGAGAGATTTCATTCATTCATTCATTTTGAGGAATTGGCTGACATAGTTGTGGAGGCTGGTGAGTTTCAAATCTGATGGAGTTCACTGACAGGTTGGAGACGTAGGAATGGTGGTTCAAGTCCAAAGGCACTCTGCTGGCAGAATTCTTTCTTGCTTGGACGAGGTCAGCCTTTGTTATATTAAGATAATCTGACCAACTGGATAAGGTCCATCCAAATTATGGAGGGTAATCTGTTGTACTCAAAGTCCACCAATTTAAATGTTAATCTCATCCAAAAAAACACCATCACAGAAATATCCAGATTAATGTTTGACCAAATATCTGGGCACAGGGCCCAGCCAAATTGACACATAAAATTAAGAATCACAGAGAGTAGTATTAGAAGTAGGAAATATCAGTAATTTTATCTTTATATTCTATTAATAATAAATTTATTTTCAGTTAGTGCTTGAAGAGCCAATTGAACCTTTAAATATTATAGGATGATGGCTGAGGATGTGTGTTTCCTGGACATACTGGAATCTCCCTAAATGCAGTCTGCGTGGGGACGAAGCAGCCCTGAAGAGTAGACATTTATTTCTCCATTCGAGATGTCCTTGATACAGAATGACGATCTGAGTTTTGATAGTAATTTTTCTGACAGGAACGTTTTGGCAAATGTGCTTTAAATGGAAATAAGTAATGAATAAGTCATGAGGTAGACTTTGTTGACATTAATAAAATGTGTTAGGTGAGTTCAGTGAGCATATGTTCTTTGTTGTCTGCCAAGCTTGTTTGAGGGCTTGTCCTGAGCAGAAAGTTGTGTTGGTAGTAACCTTGGGCTTACTTTAATCAGTAGGCATCTCAAATGGTTTGTCTTTGGGTTCCCATGGTGTAAGAAAGAGAGTTTTAAAATGTATATTGTCTTGTAGGGGGATGGTTGGATACAGGATGGCAGGGAGAAAGAGTAGAGCATATCTATGGATAAGTTATTCCTGAGTAGGGGTTAGAATGCATAAGAAGGAGGGAATGATCCCCAGAAATTCAACAACTGCCACCAATTTCATTCGTAAAAACAGCATTCATATGGTATCTGTTTTACCCTGGTAATTCCCATAAAGAATTCTTTTTATACCTTGATTGACTTGATAAAATATGACCCTGTCAGCAAAATATTTAATCAGCAGTAAATTTGCTAGAAAGATTTTCAAAGTGGAACTGGTTGATATTTGTACACGGACACTCTTCAGGTTAGCAAAGCAGTTTTTCTTTAAACCAGAGGAAAACAGGTATATGTTTGGAGATGTGATGGGTGTAGGTAGGCCAGCACAAGGGTGGGGAACCTTTTCATGTTGGAAGGCTGCATTAATTTAGCTGTAATCAAATAAGGCCTCATTCAAGAAACTCCAATTAGATATACTTAAAAATGTACATT